TCCTTGGATTTTGGATTGTGTAATAGTGTTTGGAGACCAACTGAGAGGAAAGGCTTCAAAGTCAGTTTAGGAGGCGGGTATATGTTCTCCATTGACTTGAATGGTTAAAAACATCAAAGGCTTTACGTTGTTTCTCATGTGTCTATTTTTTTGATTGAATTTGGATGGGAAATGCAACTAGAGTCCTTGACCTGACGATGTATTGGCTGTTGATGCTTTGGGTTTGATGGACAAGGCGGGGGGAAGTATGGGGGTGTGTTGCGGTGGGATATTTTATTTTATTTTATTTAAATTTTATGATTTTACAAAAAACTGGGTTGGGCTGGTTTTTTTAGAGGGGGTTTGTTTTTCTAATTTTATTTTTTATACATTTTATTTTAATTTTTTAATTAATTTATAAAATAAAGGAATATTTTATTCATTTTTCAGTCTACATGGATGCCACATCAGCTTAAAACAGGAATCCTATTTTGACACATCAACAATTAACAGAATTTTTAACGCTTTACCTAAAGGAGGGTGTATTTTGGAAGATTTTGTTAAGTTTGTGTATTGGTCAAACTGGTCAATAAACATTGGGTATGAGTTTGTAATGACCCTTATAGTTTAGGGGTTTATTGTAATTAATATATATATTTTAATATATATATACATAGATACGAAAATAAAGATGCATTCACATTTGAGGCATATATATTGGGAGATAGATATATTGAAACTTTTATTGTGTAGAAATTAAAAGATGAATTGTGTTCGTCTCGTTTTGTGTAGATTTAATTTAGAATTAGCTTGATGATCTTCGTGTTTTCTGTTTAAATAATAAACCCTTTCCAATTAAATGTTGATATCCTAATTTCAAACTAAAGATGATTAAACACGCAGAAAATTGCGTCTATGGCAAAGTGTGCTTTTTTCAAGTGACCTTGATTACATCGAAAAAAAACACCTTCATTAAAAACCCCTCCTCCTGAAAAAGAAAGCACAACAAAACAAATACAAAAAAAAAAACCAAAAAGCCGGAGAATCCAAATTAACAAGACGGCAATTGCCAGTTTGTTTCTTGTCTTGAAAATGCGATGCAATTGATGCACAAGAGAATCCTAATAATGATAGCACAATGACAAAACGCCCCCCAATGTCGCCGCCTGACTTTTGAAAGATTTGTTAAGTTTGTGTACTGGTCAAACTGGTCAATAAACGTTGGGTATGAGGTAATGACACTTATAGTTTAGGGGTTTATTGTAATTAAATTTTTTTTTTTTAAATGTATACATAGATACGAAAATAAAGATGCATTCACATTTGAGGCATATATATATTGGGAGATAGATATATTGAAACTTTTATTGTGTAGAAATTAAAAGATGAGAATTGTGTTCGTCACGTTTTGTGTAGATTTGATTTAGAATTGGCTTGATGATCTTCGTGTTTTCTGTTTAAATAATAAACCCTTTCCAATTAAATGTTGATATCCTAATTTCAAACTAAAGATGATTAAACACGCAGAAAATTGCGTCTATGGCAAAGTGTGCTTTTTTCAAGTGACCTTGATTACATCGAAAAAAAACACCTTCATTAAAAACCCCTCCTCCTGAAAAAGAAAGCACAACAAAACAAATACAAAAAAAAAAACCAAAAAGCCGGAGAATCCAAATTAACAAGACGGCAATTGCCAGTTTGTTTCTTGTCTTGAAAATGCGATGCAATTGATGCACAAGAGAATCCTAATAATGATAGCACAATGACAAAACGCCCCCCAATGTCGCCGCCTGACTTTTGAAAGATTTGTTAAGTTTGTGTACTGGTCAAACTGGTCAATAAACGTTGGGTATGAGTTTGTAATGACCCTTATAGTTTAGGGGTTTATTGTAATTAATTTTTTTTTTAATACATACATAGATACGAAAATAAAGATGCATTCACATTTGAGGCATATATATTGGGAGATGGATACAATTTGTCTATATTGAAACTTTTATTGTGTAGAAATTAAAAGATGAATTGTGTTCGTCTCGTTTTGTGTAGATTTAATTTAGAATTAGCTTGATGATCTTCGTGTTTTCTGTTTAAATAATAAACCCTTTCTACCATTAAATGTTGATATCCTAATTTCAAACTAAAGATGATTAAACACGCAGAAAATTGCGTCTATGGCAAAGTGTGCTTTTTTCACAGCAGAAAACAAGTGACCTTGATTACATCCAAAAAAAACACCTTCATTAAAAAACCCCTCCTTCTCCTGAAAAAGAAAGCACAACAAAACAAATACAAAAAAAAAAACCAAAAAACCGGGAAAATCAAAATTAACAAACGGCAAATTCCCAGTTTGTTTCTTGTCTGGAAAAT